ACAGTTCAAAGGCATCAATTCTTCGGCGCTCAGCCTTCTTTATGGTCCAGCTCTCACAGCCATACATTACTACTGGAGGTCCATGGTTATAGAACATAAAAGTTCTCGCACTGTGGTAAACAACCATATTTTCACATTTCTCTGTGGGAGAAGAGAAACAAAGCAATGAAAAAATAAAACATCTGCCCAGCATTCTGGATGCTCAGTAACCCCATGTATCCCTCACTTTTTTTAGGAGCTAGAACATCTGACTCTTAACCAATTTTAAAGTGGGGTGAAAATAGGAGAAGGGAGTGCTGTGTATGACATGAACTTATGGAGAAAAGATGGGATATAAATCTCACAAATCAATAAATAAAATGGTCTCAATGGTTAGGGATTAGATATGTTTTGATTTGCTTGCATTTAAATTCAAAAAGCAGTAAGACATATGCTTAACATTGATTGAACTCTTCATTTTTAGCATAGATGGATAACTTTTCATTTCATCTCCTGTTTTGTTAAGTTGTATGGAATAGTTTAGAGAAATGATAAATCACCTTTTTATTATACTGCCATAGGGTATATGTAAGAGTTCATAGAATTTGATTGGGACAATGCAAAAAGCATTCCAGAGGGGTTTTTTCCCCTCGTTTGTTCAAACTATTGATGAAACACAGTAAAAGCAGCTTCATTTCTTTAGCCTCAAGCTTTGCAAATATAATTTATAGCCACCTAATTGCTCTGTATACCATTGCAAAAATTTTATCCCTCCCTTCAGATAAGACAGTGTTTCAAAAGTACAAGATCATATTTTTCTGCAGTCCAATTTTCAGCAGTAGTCAACTGACTGCTAGTTGGATAAGCAGAGGTTACCACAGGGCACCCAAGCAAGCAGCAAACAATACTCTAATCAAGGAACTACCAGAGGAGCAGAACAAAACCCCCACCAACACTGGCAGGGCATGCAAGTGTATATAAACAGAGAGCAAATCCCGTCCCATTCCAGCACTGAAGATGTTACCTAGATGGGTAATGAAACGTTTGCAGGAAAAGAATCAAGGTCAGAGAACCCCAAGGACTCCACTTACCTACTCTTCCAGATTTTATTGGCTTACAGGAGAGCCAGTTTGGTGTAGTGGTTAAGGCATCAGATGAGAAACTGGGAAACCATGAGTTCTAGTCCCACTTAGGCACAAAGCCAGCTGGGTGATCTTGGGCCAGTCCCTCTCTCTCAGCCCTAGGAAGGATGCAACAGCAAACCCCTTCTGAAAAACCTTGCTAAGAAAACTGTGTGGACATGTCCAGGTAGTCGCCAGGAGTCAACACTGACTGGAAAGTACAAAAAAAGGGCTTACAGGTATTAGTGGCAATGTTTTTCCCTCTCTTTTGTTAGGCTAACTGACAGCTGGCCTTGATCTAACACAGTGATCCTTTGGCAAATAAAACTTATTTTCTTCCATCATCTTCAGCCCTGTCATGTGTCCTTTTCAATGAGTAGATTAGCTCCAGCACCAGTGTACTTTACCTTTAGCACTCTTCCCCCATTTCTTGCCCTCAAACACTTTATGATTTTTGGACTATTCACAAATTAACAAGCTTTTGGACATGCAAGTGCTGCCTAATCCATTTTAGAATCACTATCCACCTTTTCTCTGGATTGAAATCATCAGACCATCTTCAACAGCCACTAGAGTTGCCTACTTCCTTTCCTTCCAATGTTAGTGTGGCATCCAGTACTGATATGGCCCAGTACGATCTGTCCACCTTCCTTTCCTATGAAAAGCAAATCTAAGAGTTTAAACTAAGGGTTAATCTCAGCTCCCATCAGCAAAGCAAGTAAAAACTATTTTGTTTGTGTGTTTGCATGGATGTATGAAAAGCCAGCAAGAAGCTATGTTTGACCGCAGGCTCATCACATAACTTATCATTTTAATGTTGTAATACTTTAAAGTTTTAAAAGAGTAGGATTGCTGTCATTTAAACAGATCCATAACATGACAGAAGTCTTCTCAATGAATGCATTTCTGGCTTACTAACTTTACTAACTGTAAAATACTTGCAATTAACACATTATAATCCCCATTCTTGTAAAAAGTAGTATGCAAGCGGGGGGGGGGGGGGGGCTTCCTTTTCCTTCTTCCTCTAGTATCTGACACAAATCATACCTCATTTGAATTATATCAAGCAGATGTTAGAGTGGTTTTAAACATCTTTTGTCATGAGAATGGAAGATTATATCCTAGGGATGAACAAATAGTTGGATAAATGTAAACTTATATTATTTGCCAACAGAGGTTTCTACATGTGAAAGGAGGAAATACAGAATGAAAATATATTAATCCTGAATGATATTCAGAGTGGCCAGAAATTTTAGCATAACAGTATAAAGATAGACAACAGCCTAGTCTTCTGTCAACCCAGTAGGTGTCTGTTTCACCTACTTCATCTATCAGTACAGCACATTTTCAGAGAAAAATATTTTGTAACCACAAAGCGAGATTATCCTATTTTCTGGGTCCTCAGTAGTACCATGTTGGCTTGGAAATTCTGGGAGCTCATGTCCATACAACAGGAAGGCACCTTCATTGGGGTAGGTAGGCTTAATGCAGCACAGTATACTGTTTGAAGAATTACTCTAGCGTGCACTTGCTCTGCCTCTCACTTGCTTTTTCTCTATTTCACTCATTCTTTCAGCTGGTTTGGTGAATTGTGGAGTCTTGGGGGTCTCTGAGCTCACCCCGAGCTACACATATTCTCTTCTATTGGTTTGGTGAATTTCATGGTGAGGACAAATCAGTCTGGAAATAATTTATAATGAAAAGAAAGTTTTATTTCTCTACCAGAGCCTCAGCAGTCTTTATTTATCAGAAAAATTAATGGTTTTCATAGAGTGTGTTGATCTTTGATTATATTCCTAGATGAGACAGAATATGAGTACAGTGGAAGCGAGGAGGAAGAAGAAGAAAATGACTCTGGAGAACCCAGGTAATGCACATTTGTTCGTGTCTGGCTATGCTCCCGTCTCTTGGGTGTCTGATAGAGTTGTGCTTAGCTGAAGACAGACAGAACATAAGTGTGTAGCAGAAAAATTCATTAGATGCAGTAATAGAGACATCCTTTGCTCTCCAAATTTGGAAATATTTCTCTCTAAAATTGGATTGCTCTTTTTGCCATACCCTTTCCTCTGATTTTCACCCTTCACTCCTTATACAAACCTTGTTGTAAGACAAGAAATAAAAAAGCTGGGAACCTTTCCTCATGTGGGTGATGCAGTCCTTACCAATAACATTCCCATGGTGGTGGAGGGAGGTAGAGTAAGGAAGAAATACTCTGATTGAATAAAAAGCCTTCTGTTTTGATCATGGTGGAAGTTTAGTGCTCAAAAGATACTTGGATTGAGGTCAAGAGATTTTAATATGTAGCCTTATACTGAACTTCAGCTCCATTATCCTCATTACAGAAGATCCCAGGGAATACTTGATCAGCCCAGCTATGATATGCAGGAAAACTAAGGGATGAAAGAACTCCTCCTCTAAGGTTGCATGTGAAAGTTTGCTTCAGGAAAAAGCTCTCTGCATATAGAAATATTGCCCAGAAGAGAGAAGGCTAGAGTGAACTGTGTGCTTCCTCATATGTGAAATCTATATATGTTGGAAACAAGCTTTTTGTTCAGTAGAATTCTGAGTCCAGAAAAAGCTTTTGTCACTTGATTCCATTGTATTTCTGCACTGGGCATCAAATAGTAACAAAGGCTGACACAATGAAATAAAACCTCAGCTGAGCTGTAATTACCAGCAGATATTTTGTGGTCTTACAATAGTATATTGTATGAAAATAAATGGGGAAATGCTAGTCTCTGTGGCCTCCTTAAAATATATGATTTAACTGTGATATGATATCAGTAAGACATTTGAGATGTCAGTTTTCAAAGGGTTTCACAAATTAATTTCCCACATTTGATGGATGTGTATTAAAAGAGGAGTTTTTGAATTCCTTATGGCAAAAGGGAAACTCCCCACCTTCACCCTCTGCTCCCAATTATTCCTGACTCGGCAGACTTACATTCATTCCTCTTCTTTCACTACTATCTGATGCTCCCTTTTGTTCCCTGTTTCTTCTCCCTTTTGTTCTTTTTTGTAGAATAGAAAGACCGATGCAATGTCTGAAAGATCTTTTGGGTGACATGTGTTTAGGGATATAATATTAAACAGGAACTATAGGGATTGCATTTGCTGTCCCATAATGAGGAGGGGGCATTTTCCATTCTACTTTCATTAAGGTGAATTTGCCATGTTGACTATAGATAGGCCTTTCCCAGTCTGGGCACTCTCCATGCTTATGGACCTCAATTCTCTGCCAGTCATCCCATATCTATTCTTTTATATGCGGATGATCCAGCCATTCTCTTTATATCAAAAGTTGGGCCGCATAAGTGTCTTGGAGTGTTATCAGCCTAGTGCAGTAGAGAATGCTTCAAAATAGATCACTCAAAAAGAGAAGTCTGGGTATTTTCAAGAAAATACTTTAGCCCCTCAGGTAGATGGATGATAAATGGAAGAACTATGGAGCAGATGAAATGTTTCAAATATTTAGATACCATATATACTTGCATATAAATCCATCTGTGGATAAGCCAACCCTTGAATTTTTAATCAAATACCATGAAAAATACACTACCTAAAGTTAAGCCAACCCTTGAAATTTTCATATATCTTAATTTTCACAATTGGGTTATCCGTGGGCGGTGCATTTTTCATAGCATTTTGGTTAAAAATTTTAGGGTCTGCTTATTCGCAGATGAGCTAACACAAAAGTATATACAGGATATACAGGTACTTTTAAAAAGCTGAGGGAAAAGCTTATTGTATATACTCGTGGATAAGTCCATCCGTGGATAAGCCAAACCCAATTTTTGGGGGGTATTATGGCACCTAAAATTCTTGGCTTATCTGTGGGTATATATGGTATTTATTTTTAATCTTTTGTCTGATGTGATGGAATGGAATTATGAAGGCCAAGCTCAGGGAGATAAACATTTTCTTAGCT